ATGAGACTTTTTTCAACAACAGTAAGAGCATTTGACCTTAATCAAAGTAATGTTGAATATAAAAAATTTTCAATCTGATTATTTTAGGTAAAGTTTGTTGGCTGGAGCGATAGCACAGCGGGTAGGGCGTTTGCCTTGCACGCAGCCAACATGGCCGACCCGAATTCTATTCCTCCGCCCCTCTCGGAGAGCCCGGCAAGCTACCGAGAGTATTCGATATGCTAGACACAGTAACAACAGTCTCCAATGGAGACGTTACTGGGCCCGCTCGAGCAAAGTTTGTTTTAAGTACTTGTAGGCGTATTTGCAGTGGACCAAACATTTCTTCATTGTACATACAAATTTGTTGCTTATGTAAGTACTCTATTGAAGAACTACTTTTGCGAATTAAAATATATAATTAGCTATCACTGAGACTAAGTGATTGTATTTATAGGTAAATGAGAGAAACCCTTCACTCTGTATTCATTTTCCCCTAGTGCTTGCTATATAAGAGAAATAAATGAATATTTGCTTTAACTAAAGAGTTAACAATACTATTGAGAACATAATGTTTACATGAATTATTAAAACAGAAATCAATAAGTAGTAGCAAATCTCTCTATTCCTGTACCAAAATGTTTCTTATGAATCCTGAGTCCGTTTTCAAATTTTAATGCATACAAATGCTTTGTGAAGACACAGAAGATGGCTCAATGGTTTAATGTACTTGCAGGAGCATACATAAAGTTAAAGAAATGTCAGAGACACAGGAGATAGCTCAAAGGGGTGGGAAGCCCCAGGTTCAATCTCAACAGTGCCAGGTGTAGCTTAACAGACACCATACCACTTTAGGGACTACATATAAAAGTGTTGAAACAATCCTGGTGGCTCCACTGTCTGGTATCCTCAGCAAGTGAAGAGAAAACAACAATATAGGATCCAACTTAAATATCAAGAATCCCATGTAATATTTTTTGATACAATAGGGCAAAAAGTTTGTTTTATTTTAAGCACCTTGATTATCTGGATATAATCAGTGTAAGGGACCTCCGGAGGGAATGAAAGGGAATTGGAATTGCCAGCTTTATTAGCATCTGCAGATTTAAGAGGCACTACTAGGTTGAACTTTAAGCATGAAAGAAATTTAGAAACATAAGGGATATATATTCCAGGAAAAGATAAAGCACTAGAGAAAAGTCCAAATTTATGAGCAAGTATAAAATAAGTGTCATCTGAAAGCAAATCTTGTCATAAATGCTCACTTTACTCACCTCATGGTGATTGTGTATACGGACTTCTGAAGCATTTTCCACTTGTGACCCCTCTTCACCAGAGAAACACTTTAGATTAATTATAATATTGATGTTGAATTAATTTTTGGTTATTACGCATTCATCAAATTTCTACTGCTGCAAATTTTTCATGACCATCATATTCAATTATGCTACACCTTCTGAGGTTTTAATGTATAGTTTAAAAATCTACGGTATGAGTCAACAACACTAAAGCCAAGAGACCCAAACTTTAACAACCAAATTTAGAAAGGTATTTGTCAAGACAGCAGGCTGGAAGGATGTGTGTGTGTATGTATATGTGTGTGTGTGTGTGTGTGTATGTGTGTGTATTTGGCATATATGTCATGATATATAGGTAGATATTATATGTATTTATAATGTATTTATTATATATGTATACATTATATGATATATTACATGATATATATTATATGTACATATGAGTCACCACATATGCATATAAGTAATTTTACATATATACATACTTACATGTATATATGTATATATGTATATACCACTGTCACTGTCCTCCCATTGTTTATCGATTTGCTCGAGCAGGCCCAGTAACATGTCCATTATTTTTTGAGACTTGTTGTTACTGTGTTTGGCATATTGAAGATGTCATGGGTAGCTTGCCAGGCTTTGCCGCGTGGGTGAGATACTACGGGTAGCTTGCCGGGCTCTCTGAGAGGGACAAAAGAATCGAACCTGGCTCAGCTGGGCTGGCTGCACGCAAGGTGAACGCCCTACCACTGTGCTATTGCTCCAGCCCTGTGTATATCTGTATATGTATATTTACACATACATAAATATATAAATACATGTACAAATCGTATGTCACCATTTATATTCATACATACATATATATGTGTATATACATACATATCCACACATATGCATCCACATCCACATATTTAAGCATTAACTTAAAGGTCAGAAAAATTGGAGCATAGGGCTAAGTTCATTGCCTGATACTACAATACCTGAGCATAGATGACTGTGTTTCTGAAGGCTACAAGCACTGCCAAGGTGTTCTGGTAGTCCTTGAGCACTACTAAGGTGACCCTGGGGGTGCTTGGCACTCCATGATACACTACATCCGTGGGTTGTTGCATTGAATCACCAGACATGGTGGCCAAGTGTCACGGAAAGGGATCCTAGGGTCCCCTGAGCACTGCTTTGGAGGCATACTCCCAGCCCCTGCTCCCACCGACACACACACACACACACACACACACACACAGGAAAAAATATTGAAGCACTTGAGGCATTGTATTGTTCTCTTTTAATTTGAATTATCATATCTGTAAAGGATAAATTCAATAATGTGCATGCATTTACAATATCTTGTATTAGATTTTGATGATTAAATGAAGGAATAAATGTAAACTTCCTAGTACAGAGTAATTGTAAATGAATGGACAGTATTTGTGATTTTTTAAAATACTGGTAAAGTACCTATTTGAAATGGAATAACCCATGATTACACAACAGTCTGGTATATTTTAGATTAGAAAGATAAAACATAGCAAAATCTGGGAGCTGTAGAAACAGTATAAGGGTTTGCATGTATGCATGTTTTAGATGTGGCTAACCCCAGTTTGGTCCCCAGCTTTACATATGGTTCCCCTAGCATAGTCAGGAGTGTGTCCCTGAGGTAAACTTGCTTCCAAAATAAACAAACAAAAAATCTTAATTTTGACATATTAAGATATTAAAATTTCTCTTTTTTGCTACATAGGTGAACTTTGACAACTTGTGAAACTAGCAATTATAATTTAAAAACCCACTAAAAATATGATTTCAAGGGATCCAAAGTTGCCTATTTCTGTTCAGGGTGACTCTTTAGAGGTATCCATTTCACAAAAGTCAGTTGTGTTTACCGTGAATTATTTAATCAGATCTTTTTCTGTCTATAACAGTGGAAAACACACAGGAACAGGAGATTGAATGAAGACAAGGAAAAGGTGGAATCATTTTGTATAGAGTTTTCTCCTAGAAGATCGAATTGGCTAGAGTCTCAAGCCATAAAGGATTTGAAAAGCTATCTGGTAAGGAATGGTTCCAGAATAGAATAGATAAAGGGCAAGAAGGAAATACTAACAAATGTCAAAGGTTTTTCCTTTAGCCCCTGTCTGGTTTTACTGTCACTGTTCCCTGTTTTTATTGGTCCTTATTTCTGTTAAATGTCACATAAGTGCCTTTTCATTTTTTGTGTGTGTCATCTCACAAAGAAAATCCTTTAAGATGAGAAAGTGAGACTCAAATGTTCTCACCAGGTACCCAAGAAATTCTGAGAAAAGAAATGGTTCTAAAAAAAAAATAGCCAGAAAAAAAAAAACATACTGTGAACTATACAGGGTATATTGAGTCTTTCTGAAGGTTTTATTTTGTTTACTATGTTAATTTTTCTAAATTACTATGTGTAATTATAGCTTTAGAAATTTAGATGTTTAAAAGAAAAAATATTTCTTATCTATATTGACAGAATAGCTGAATGTTGTGTAATAATTATTTTCCTTGATAGAAAAAGAAAACAGCTTCATTAACATGGAATTTTAAATAAGATCTGAAAGCTAACCATAGATTATATAAATGTAAGCTTATTTTTGTCAAGAGAATTTGACTATAACTTGTAGAAGGAAATATATTTTGTTTAAGGTAGGGCACGTGGAAGTTGATTAGCTATATTTTATTGGATAATTTACTTACAACACAACAAGAAACAAAATGAGATTTGTTCCCTCCACGGAATTTTAAAATACATCCTCCATATCATTGTCATAAATTTCCATGTATATAAGAGCATGCATAGACAGATGCACACACACTTTTATTGCCCTAATGACCCATCTCTGCAGATTAACTGATAATTATCTCGTTAGCCTCAGCAAAATCGTATCAGCTCAGTCCTGAACAAGTTTTAGCAGGGAGAGTTTATGTAAAGCTAAATGGTAACTTTTAATTATCTATCAAAGAAAGCAATAGTGCCCCCAAAATACAAAGAACTTCGCCTTCAAATACTAAAAAAATTATTGTGCAAGTGGATGTGATGTTGAAGAGGAAAATGCATTTCAATGTTATCAGAAGCAATTTGAATGAGAGCAAAGAATTCCTGAATGGGAGAGTTAAATGCCCTTGGAATCAAACAACACGTAAATAGGGCAGATTACCCCAGCATCATGGTGGGGGGGACCAAAAAACCCATTTGTACGCCAAACTTTCCTTTTCAGAATGCCATTCACTGAAATTCTTCAGGAACTGCTGTGTTAGCTCATGTACTGAAAATGTGCTTTCTTAGGCATTTCTAAGTTCTTTTCTGGAGGCATATAATAAAGATTTGATCAATATACCAGCCAAGTGTGGATCTGGGAAGCCATGGAACATCAGAAAAAGTAAATATGCCTCATTGTGGGCACACACAACCAAACTCACTAGTTTTTCACCTCTAGACTTGGTCAATTAAAGTCAACCAAAGAAAGAACCATTTTACCTTTTAAAAGCCATATCACTGAATTATCTGTTTTCTGGAGAACATCCAGGTTTATCTCTCTGTGTTCATTATGACAGTAAAACAATAAAACTCTAGATTTAACTTTAACTCATGTGGGTACATCTAGGGCAGTAAGTGAAAATGGTGAGTTAGAGAAATATTAATCCAAGTTGGTTATTTAACATCTGCCTTATTTTGAGACAAACTATTGAAGGCATCTGCTCAGTACAATGAAACTCTTCAGTAGTATTTTAGTTTATCGGCGATTTTTTCTTGTAGTGTTCACTCTGTTGATTTTACTGCCATTGCCAATTATCCTCCATACCAAGGTATGTAAATCTGGTGGATTTCCTAATTTATTTAACTGTCCTTTGTTGTTGCTATAAAGTTACTTCCCTCCAGCTGAATGGATGTTGATGTTTGGGGCTTGTGGTCAGGTTGGTTTACATTGAGATTTATCTACTTTTCTCCTTTTTAATAGTTAACATTGATTCTCAATGATTAACCAGAATAAATAAATAACTGTAGCACTGTAGCACTGTCCTCCCATTGTTCATTGATTTGCTTGAGTGGGCACCAGTAACGTCTCACAACAAATTGTGAGACTTGTTGTTGCTGTTTTTTGGCATATCGAATACGTCCGGCAAATTACCGAGAGTATCTTGCCCGAACGGCAAATAAATAACAATATTCATAATTGTTCTGTGCCTAGCAACTAGATAAAGGAAAGAAGAAAAGAAGCACAACCTTTGATATCTTGTAGTTAGACTTAATCTCCAGTGCCCCTAGAAATTTATTCCACCTCCTTCCCCAGAGAACAGCTGTAAAGTGACCTGGGGCAGTAGCTGGAAGAGCAATCTGGAAAGCCACATGAGGCATTGGCTGATTTACTCCTCAGTTCCTTGCCTTGAAGTGGTTCACAGAGCAGGGGAAACTTGGTTTCCTTCTAGGATAAGTTACAGAAGCATGAAGTAGTTTTCCTTATTTAACCAGAAAATCTTTTAATTACTGCTGCGGGTGACTTGGGTACAGTGGAGAGCATACGAAGTAACTAGCTTTCAGAAGAGGATTTCCAAGTCCCTGCTAAGACCCACCTTAGGCACCCAGGGGAAATGCCTGGTCTTGGTGAGCTAGTAAAGTCCGCTATGAGCAACTAAGCAGCACTAAAGCCAACATCCTGCCAGCCTCACGAGGCACCGGTCAAGACACTCCTGAAGTCCACTTGCTCTGCACACTGAGTGGCTTGGTCCCATCACCCAAGTTCTGGGAAAGCCCAGATTCAAGTTCAGCAGAGGACTTGCTCTTTGCAGGAAAATGAAAGTCAGTCCTCACCTCTGTGCAGGCATTTCAAGAATGTAGCCTTCCCTCTTTTTTGAAAAAAAAAAGAAAAAAGAAAAAAGAAAGAAAGAAAAAGAGTTTCAGGAGACAAATAATGAAGCAAAATAGTTTCACTGAAAGAGAGAAAGAGATTTCCTTAGAGAATCTTGCTGAACAAGAGCTACTCCAGAATGGAAAAGCAGAGAATGGCTTCTGGGAGGTTAAACACAGTATCTCCAAATTGTCCTGGCGTGGAGTTCTCCGCAGTCATTAAACTGGATATTGTCACAGGAAAAGCTTTGACTCTAGGTGATTATTTCATATTTTTATCCTGAATTTTAGATTCTCCTGTAGCTTCTTTACAGAGAGGGTTCACCCTTCTTAGGGTGACACCTAGATTTCCAAAGAGTTCAAATTTCTCTGTTACTCAGACAACTAAAAGTTCAAGTTCACATTTCAAAGGCATGTGTTCCTCCTATGTTTGGGCTATTTTAGGACCAGGCAATTTCTCTTTCTTTCTTTTTTTCTTTTTTCTTTTTTTTTTTTTTTGTTTCTGGGCCACAACCCAGCAATCTGCAACCTCAAGGTTCTTGCTCCTGGCTCAGCACTCTGGAACCACCCCTAGGGGCCCAGGAGATAATATGGCATGCCAGGGATCAAACCCCAGTCAGCCACATGCAAGGCAAGTGTCCTACCTGCTGTATCGTCATCCCTCCAGCCCTGAAAGTTCATTTAACCTTAATTATTTCTACAAAACTCATTACTAGACCCCTCCACATTCCCCCCTCCCGGCCAACTATCTGCCCACATTATTACTGTGCCCTGTTCTGATCACTTAAAATGTTTTTTCATTTTGGTTTACTTGTAAACATTTTTCTGTTTTGACCAAATTCAGAAAATATTTTATTTAAATGGAAGGAAAAGAAAGGTAAAAGAGCAAAAAGCCTGCCACAACGAAAGGGAGAACTCATAAGCAGGATTTTTGTCATTTATTTTATTTAAAGAAATTTACTTAAAGTGAGGGGAGAGAAAAAGAAATATATGTTCAAAGGAAAACTTGGGTTTTGTTTGCTGTAGGGGAAAATGTGAGTACACATCTCAGGTTGAAATGCAGGTCAGCCCCCAAGGTGGAGAATAAACCCCAGATGCCTTTACAAAATTGGTATTTCTTCTTCTTTCAAACTGCCCCTACCCGAGTTAAGTCTGTTGCTAGGTGTTGTCAAGGGGAAATCTGTGGATTCCTGATGATCTTTTCATATTCTTATTGTGACCTTTAGATTCTTTTGAAACTCCTCCTTTTAGGAGAGGGTCTACTCAACTCATGCTGAGGCTCCTCTACCTCTCCAAAAATCTCAGTATTTGCATCTCAAAGGGTTGTAATTCTCATGCCTTTGGGCTAGTTCAAAACTACGCAAATTGTAGTTTCTTTAGTTCCCTAAAAAATCAATAGTCCCAAACCACTCCTCCCCTCCTTTGCTTGTTTTTAAGCATGGTCTGTCTATTCAGTCCTGTATAACAAACACAGATTGTTTTTCTTTCTTTGTCCTTTTTCATTTCATTTCATCATCCTGTTAATCGTCGATTGCCTCGAGCAGGCCCCAGTAACGTCTCTTTCATCCTAGCCCTGAGATTATATTCAGGGCTCTTTAGGAGAATGAGACCCATCATTGTTACTGGTATTTGGCATATTTGGTAGGCCACGGGGAGTTTGCCAGACTCTGCCCTGTGGGCAGGCTACATTCGACAGCCTGCAAGTTTGTCCAAAGTAGGAATGAGATAATAAGATGTCGCGCGGCCGCAAATGCGGCCGCGCGGTTCCGGGATCTGGATTTTATAGTCTCTGAGTCTTGGCCGCTGATGGGATTACACGGCGCCAGGGGGCCAGGTGGTGGGTGTGACCCCCGCCTACTGGAATTTGGAGGATCTGGGTGGAAGATGCTCGACTCCAATTCGAGTAGGCTTGGAGGTCTCGGCCCCGGAACCCGCGTGGCTTTGTCCCTCTGCCAGTACCTTCAGGTGTGGGGAGAGTGGTCTCAGCATGGTGGTGGCTGGTCCTGGAGGTCTCCGGCTGCTGTAGCCCTGGCCGGGGCGGGGAGGAAAGTTCAACCCGCTCCCCTCCAAGGGACTCCGGGAAGGAACACCGAGGCGCGGGGGCAGAGACTGCACTGCTCTCGTCCGGGATCTGGATTTTATAGTCTCTGAGTCTTGGCCGCTGAGTCTTTGTCCTTAACTGTGATTTTTTTCAAACTTTTTTACTATTAAAAACATTTTTTTACAAAAATTTTAGGCACTGTGATTTACGGTACTGTTAATGCCATTTAAAAAAATCCCTTGGTAAAATAACTTGAATCAGCACACATGTGAACTTCTCTATGCTGGGGTCTTGGATCTTAGTATTTGACCCTCTGGTATGTCTCCAGTGCTAGGCTTTCTGCTTTTACATTCCTGCTTGCAAGTTGTGTAAGCTGAACAATACCTTACTATGTTTCTATCTTCTCACATGTAAGATTGGGATACTCCATGTTTGTTGGGAGGTGTAACACTGTAACACTGTCGTACTATCATCGAGTGGGCACCAGAAACATCTCTATTGTGAGACTTATTGTTACTGTTTTTGGCATATCAAATATGCCACAAGGAGCTTGCCAGGCTCTGCCGTGTGGGCGGGATACTCTCGGTAGCTTGCCAGGCCCTTCAAGAGGGACAGAGGAATCAAACCTGGGTTGGTTGCGTGTAAGGAGGTGTAAGTGAATAAATACTCATCCACCCCTTGAAGCAGTGCCTGGCATGGACACATGTTATGTGGGGGTGTGCAAGAATCTCCATAGGGGTTTACAACAGGTGAGAGTCCCAATACCCATGACCTCTTTTCTCTAAGAGGTGAAACATTTTAACGTTCTTTTCGATTAAGTATTAATGAAGGTTATAATTTTCTGGGTTAATAGCAAACCTAGTAATTATACTAGAGAGGATCTTCCAACTTTTTTCAGGAGTCTACCTGGAAATATGGGAATCTCTGAGAAAAATTCTTTCAGATATATAAAATGTTCTGTTTTTAATCTGCCAAGTCTCTTTTACCTACAAAACTAATGAAAAACCTGACCATTGCTGCCCACTGTTGAAAGTATCTTATACGAGGAGCAAACCCACATTTCTATCTTCCTTCCTCGCTAGCCCCTCCCTCCTCCAAACACACACACATACACACACACACACACACACACACACACACACACACACACACCCCATATTGCTGCCTCCTAGAGCTTGAGCTTCTTCCATGGAGGCCTCATGAAGGGCTCCTTCTTTGGACAAAAATTGTTTTGATCTCCTGCAACCTCACAGAATTTATAGTAAAAGCAACAGGTGAAGTTCTCTGATTTAGTTTAGTAGATTTTGCTTCCCAAATATTGTGTGATGAATCTTCCCTTGCTCTTCCCAGGGCAACTAAGTCTGAGGACCCCTCTGAGTCTCCACAGGCCACTAGATGAGAAAATTAAGCCATAGACAATGAATTCTAATTTCCACTTTCTACCTCTTGCCACTTCTCTCAAAGATTGGTTCTCAATCAACCGTGCTCAATGGTGCTTTCTTCCCAGCTGCCTTAGTTTTATAGGTCCCTCAAATTTAGCTAAAATATTCCCTGAAAATTCTGGTTCATCCCTGAATCCCTGCTATATTTTTAAGTATTTGGGCGTTAGTCTTAGCACAGGTTCTTACTCACAATAGAGAAAATAAGAAATTTAGCAAGTCAAGGCAAATTAGGCCATGCTTGAATATCATCTGATCCTTTGACATACTGGAAAATGAAACTGATTACCTTCAGAGCAAGTGAATATAATTTCTTAGAAAAGGAAAACAAGAAAGAAATTATAAATAATGGTTTTGATGAATGATTCATTAACTGGAAAGTGTATTCTTACAAAGGAAAATAGCCATCGTTTTTTCTCACATTCCTAGGATGGACCTTAAAGTGCAGTACTCAGGTCTTCAATATTTGGGGACTTTCAGG